AAACGTTTCCTATTGGTGTCCTTTCTTTTTTTTTTTAATGTTATATAAACTGGGATTATCCCCTGCTTATCTTGTCTTGCTAGGGGGATTGGAAAATTCCAACATCTGCATTTGCAGGAGTTCCTTTTATTTGCTTCTTTTTTCTTTCTTTTCTATTTTTTTTCCAGGAGATGTTTTCCACACGCCAGATCTCTTGGGGAAGTTGGATGCTGACATGCTGTGGATCATTGGTCTTTGGCCGAAGGCGATGTATGGCATGTGCCTGTGCAGTCAGGTCATGATGCATAATACTTCTTCAGGGCATGGTTAACTTCTGTAGCAACATCTTATTGCAGGAACCATCCTGTTCCTGCTGGCCTCCAGCCTCCACTTTCTCCTGGCTGTGCAGCTCAGTGGGAGTTAACGGGTAAGATGGTACCAAAAGGACCAATACCCCTTTGCATTAGAATCCTCTGCAAAACTGGGGAGTAGGTGGGGGCACGGAGGGGAGAGAAATGATGTTAAAAAAGAAGCTCTTGTCCATGACCTTACAGCTGTCCTCTCTGAAGCCTTCATTTCCTCCAATATATTCACTGCGGGACCACCACAGGCAGGAACAAGAAATGCCTGTGTTATGGATCTGGGCTAACACACGCTGACCTTAACCTGATCTATTTCTTTATCATCACTCATAGGGACAGAAGTGTGAACAAGGACTAGGTAACATTGACAAGAGCTGTTTAAATGATAAGACAAAGTATTTATTTAAATATTCAGGCAGATATATTTGTCAGATAACACTGCCTGTGCAATAAAACTAAGATTAGGAATCAAAGGAATTTGGAACCCAAGGCAGTAGCGTTTTCTCCAGGTTTCATGTATTCTAAGTGCATCATTTTGTCAGTACAGAGGAGGTGTTTTACATAGTTTCTGAAAATGTATTTACACATTTCAATAGGGTGCCATTATTGTGCTCTCACACAAGATAAAGCTGAGTCTCAGTAGCTGTAACAATAGCAAAATACATCAAATGACTGAACAGATGAGGCACTGTATGGTCTCTGTTATTCTCTTTACCTCATTTTAGAAAGACATTTGCAACACCAGGTTTTTAGTAGAGATGGATCAGGTATTTCAGTCCCAGTCCATCTGCTGTGCCCTTCCCCCCCTTAAAAAATTAAAAATGGACAATTTGATCACAAGCCTAAAAGAGATATAAAAAGACAGATATTTACCATATGAAAAATAAGCAAAAGGCTTTCCAGATAATCGGGCTTTGTAAAATGCTAATCACTTTCCCACCTTTTCCTTTCACCAAGACATTTCGTTAACTCTGTCTATTTGCGCATTCACTTGGCGATATATTCCCTATTTTATCACTAACAAAGTAAAATAAAAGTAACTTCCAGAATTGTCAGGCTCCTAGAACTGCGGCTCAAGTTAGCAGTGTGAGTATAGAGCATTTTTTCAAGTCAGAGTCTAAGTATTTAGCAGACACTTGTCACAATAAGATTCTGAAGGTGCACCTACCTGTGTGCAGTTTTGACAAAGAGCCCAACAACTCCACTATGAAATTTATATTGCAGCCTGCTTAGCTAATATTAGAGCATTGCACAAGAGAGTGTGAAGTTTATGGAAGTCTATAAAACGTCTTATCCGCTGCTATTCAAACAGAGGTAATACAGAGAACTTCAGATTTCTCTGTTTGTCCGGATGAGTGTTTAAGGGCTTGTTGCTCAAAATCGTCTCTATTTTTTTTTCCAGCTACATTAGCTGGTCTAATAACTGATGCTATCTCTGTCTACAAAGCTTGTACAGTTATATGTCCTCCATCAACTTTGTACAAAGTTTAAAGTAAACACTTGAAGCCGAGAATGGATTCCTGGAATTTTCCAAAGGTAGAAAATTACACCAAGCCTCTGAACACAGCTGCTATGATACAGAAGTTAAATAGTTGCATTTTGTATTAATTATAGGCAGTATGTTAGGTTGCTGCTTATAGGCAGGCTGCGTTAAGGCTAGCATGTGATCTGATGAGAGGAAGAGCAAGGTATGAACAGAGGTTTGGTGATGGATATGAAGCATTTCTAAGTAGTAGCAGACTTGCAGAAAAAGAAGAACAGTTGTGGTCATCACAGGGAGAGTTTTAGGGGATAGGTGAGAAAAATGGTCAGACCTAACCCACAAAATAAAAACAAATGGCCTCTTGTGGAGTGATGAGGACTACTTTTTGATTTTGCTTTTAATTTCTGAATGGGCATAACACTGTAGGCCAGAGAAATGCAGAATTCAAGAAAACATGACATGTTAACCTTCTTCACAGACCGTTATTTACAACACAGCGCTGAATTTGCTCTGGCTGAAGTCAGTGGCAAAACTGCCATTGGAGGGAGCTGATTAAGCCTGCAATCAGGTGTCCCATCTGCTCTGCTCTGGAGGATCTACGTCCTTGCTCCTGCAAACTTACTAGGGAGTGTTCCCGTTCTCAGTCAGTCACCCTGCTAAAAGCTGGTTTGGCCAAAACATGGACTTGAAGCCTTTACTCAATCCTCCTTGTAAAAAACACCTTTTCTCTTTTTAAATCCGCTTTATCCCACTGTTCCTGTCTCATCTGGCAAGATTATTTTTCA